CGAGTATATACGGTAATGAATAATAAGTATTGTGCTGTTTTATACAATATTTGGTACAGTTAATTAAAATGAAGCACATTAATATTTAATGGTCTTGCATACAATTACATTTATTCAGGAAGCATGTGGTGAAATTATAGTGACGTCATTAGTGGAAACTTTTAAGCAGTGTCATTGCTGAGTGCTGACCTCTGCTTCTGAAAATGCTCGTAAGGTAACTGACATGCTAGATTCAATGCTTAAGAAATGACGCTGACTCGAGTATAAGCCGAGGGGGGCACTTTTCAGCAAAAAAAATGGGCTGAAAATCTCTGCTTATACTCGAGTATATACGGTACTTCTTGACAGTGGTTGAAACTTGCCGATCCCTATTACTCCCATACATTTCTATTATCCATTATTATGAAGGGGTGCCTTACTAAGCAGGAATGTGTCAGAGAATGGATTGCCTTAGCACAAGCTTGACACACGTTAAAGTGTGCGTGGTAACACACTAGAGAAGTGTGACTATGGCCTAAATCTTGCTGTTACGTACAGCACTGCATATGCAGAAACGTACGCAGATCTGGTCCAGATTTGGTGTGAACATGCCCTGAGAACAGAGAAAACAATTGGGCTTTTATGGTGTCTGTATATTGTGAGATGAGTATTCACTATCTTAGGTATAGTATTTCACATATTTCTTAAAATACCTGTAGTCCATACATCATAAAAACAACAAAGTCTCATGCAACAAATAGTAGTTATATAAAGTTTTGCACCCAACACTGGCGCCTGTTCCCTAAAGAATAATGAATAGCGGGTAGTAGAAGGTCACAAGTCCGTACAGTTATTCCGAACCATTTGTAAATAAACGTGAAAAGTGACGTGTTTTGTAGACGCATCAGACTTGATTGTGCTTCATCTATGAAAACACAAGAAGATACATTATACAGATCTACAGAAAAGGTCCGTCCTCATAAACCTACATACATAATAAAATTCCGGAGCACTGTCAAACCATATGCCTTGCAATCACAACGCCTCCAGACAGAGGCATGACTAGTAACCCCAGGGCCCCTCGATTTTTTTTGGATACATTAAAAGAAAAAAAAGAATTTTAGACAAAAAAAAACCCACACTCTCCTCTTCCATGTGCCCAGCATCCCCTTCATGTCCCCAGCACCCCAATATATCCATGTCCCCAGCTCCTCATTATCTCCTTATGCCCCAGCTCTCCTCTCCTTGACCCCACACTCTCCTCTTCCATGTCCCCAGGTTCTCCCCATCTCCTCCTTCACGTCCCCAGCTTTCCTCTCCCTGACCCCACACTCTCCTCTCCCATGTCCCCTTCATATTCCCAGCTCCCTATATCTCCTTCATATCCCCTGCAGGTCTCTCATACCCAGGCAGCTCTACATTCTGCAGCAGTTCTGTGTGATGAGGGGGCTGGGATAACCCCACTTCCCATTTGGCTGCTGCGCCTGCTGGATCATACTTCATGCTGCACCCGGAACAAGGTGAGGGGCGCAGCGTGAAGTACGCAGAGCCCAGGACAGGAGGAAGAGGCCCCCGATACTGACATTAGCGATTACCGGGATATTAAATATCCTGGTGATCAGCGGTTACCAGGGCCCCCTTCCTCCTTTCCTGGGCCCGCTCTAAGTGTCGGAACTCCAGGGCCCGGTTGCAGTTGCAACCCTGTTGGTCCGCGACTGCCTCCAGGTAAGAAACGGACACCACGGGTTAGAAAGCTGTGTTCTTGTATGCAGTGCATGGCTTTATTTTTAGTTTGATTAAAATGTACTTTTAATTGTGTGGCCCCTGTGTGATGAGCACGTGGTACCATGGACATCCCAAACTTTTGTGCCTTCAACCTCTCCAAGACCTTTCTCAATAATACAGAACAGCATTGTATTTTCAATAACTTTTTTTTTTTTTTTTAAAGAAGGAAAACAAATGTTGTTGGCCTAATTAAAAAGTCTGTAAAATGATTGCGATTGCTGCTTGGAACTGATCATGATTTCATGTTAGACCATGCCACAATGTATGACGTTAATGTGCCCACTTTGTGGGCTTTCCTGTAGTGCTTGCCTGATCCAAGAACATAGCTTACGTCAATGTAATTGAGACTATTGACAAGTGGAGGACAGGAAGCTGAAAACTGCTAGTTAGGCTGGACCTTTAGTTGCACAAACACTGAGTAGGATAACACATGAGATTAACATTCCTGGAAGATGAGAGGGTTTCTAGCGCTCTGCTTGATGATGCAAAGGCTGACTTCACACATTATTTTAGCTTCAGGATAAGAATCAGTTGGGATTTTTGTCCAAAGCACTTGTGTGAGTAATGAAATGACCCTGTCCTTGTTTCCCCCCAGACACTCCTTGTTTCAAAGTGAGTGCGTAGATCTTTGTGGGGATAAATATACAATGGCATAGTTTGTTGTAGGAGATCATTTGTTTACCTGAAATGTATTATTTTATTAAAGACCACAAACACTATAAAAAAAGAAAACCAAAACATATAATCGAAAGTAACGTCTAAGGTGCACAACAGAACATATATCTGTATTCCAGGTTTACTGCATACATCAATACAATAACAAATGTGAACCCCCCCTCCACATGGTATTATATTTTTACATTCTTGCAGCGGCTGACCTCAGTGAGAACAAAATACCCTCTTCCCCTATTATTATCGGGGATCATTGGAAATCATCCTCTCAGTACACCACGGTGTCAAGATAAAAGATTTTATAAGCTTATGTTTTGAAATGGTCAGCAGGAGATCAATGAGGAGTCCCATTCCTCCAAAAAACGTTGTGTTCTGAGTATCCTTACTAAGCATGGTCTCAGTCCAATCATTTTGAAATGCAAACATCAACTTGCTCTAAAAAAGGGGTTAGAGTGGTTGGTTCAGGATGTATCCATTGATGCTAAATCATTTTCTTTCCCACCAATGATATAATAGAAATCAAACTGATTCTTACAAGATTTTAGGGTAAGTGTGACCCATCTGCTTTCATATTTTATTGTATTCTGAAATAAATAGAAACTCTGATCTTCAGCATAGAAAAAGTGTGTTGCATTATCATTGTTAAATAAACAGAACCCTGTAAAACGCACATTTAAAAGGAGATAACATCAAAAGCCAAATACAAAGCTAGTGGTGTGGCCTGATTTAGCTAAAGTCACACCTTTATCTTATCAGGAGGATGTGGATTGTTTAAAATGTAAATGAACAAAGATTATGAAAAAGCAGCTGATATTTCGATAGCTGTGCAGTCATGATAAATGGTGATATGGCAAAATCGAGATGACATTAATGCTTTCCAAAAATGCAGATCCATCACCTTACAAATGAATGTTGGAAAAACAATAGTAGTAATTATCTTCCTGATTAAAGGACTATATGCATCTGCTTCCTTTCTGTAATAGTTATTGATGCATTTTATCTATATACAGTGATAAAGGGGAAATGTACGTACCAAAGAATCCTGCAATCATTAACTGGTTTAGGCAGACCATCGACTGCTTGAGTTTTGGTTGAGACCTGCTAAAATAATCCTGGCCGAACAGTGACTTTAAAGCAGAACTCTGGGGAAATGTTTTATTAACCCTTGCAGTGGGGTTACCCCAGCACTGCAAGGGTTAAGTGCTCGTTTTGGTCATGGGGGGGAAAAATAACAATCCTCGAGTTGGTCGCCTGTCACAGTACTCCCTGAAGCCTCTCTCCTCCTCCTCCACTGCAGCGATGGTATGTCCCTCAGCATCCTCACATCCTATACACTGTGTATAGAACGCGATGACTTTTGGACCTTAGATTGCTGCAGCAGAGGGGGAGAGAGGCTTTAGGGATGGTCTAACAGCAAGCCAGCTCCAAGGATCAGGTGAGTATAACTTTTTTGCTTTCCTCCCTAGGCCAAAACGAGTTTTTGCAGTGTGGGGGCTAGTGGAGTAGCCCCACTTCAAGGTTTAATTAAAAAAAATCCTGTGGAGTTTTTCTTTAACCAATCAGCTGCAGTCTTTGTCTGGGTATTCTGACAGAAGCACACTCAACATTGTCAGAATCCAGTCGCTCAGCAAGAGGAATTGCCCCATCATTGCTGTTTAGCGTGGATGGGGACATTGAGTGTTTTTCTTCTCATTAATCCCCCAGGGCTGAATAGTGAGGGGAATTTATCAAAACTGGAGCAGGCAAAAAAATCTGGAGCAGCTGTGCATGGCAACCAAGCTTTCATTTTCGAAGCTTAACTGAACAAACCGAAGAGAGAAGCTGATTGGTTGCCATAGGCAACTGCTCCAGATGTTGTCTGCTCCGGTTTTGATGAATTCCCCCTATTGTGTATAGGTCAGCTTTATTTGGGCTTCTAACAGTGTATGGTGTTTATCTTTCTTGTAGTTGTGTTTTTCTCTTTACATTATGCCGTTTATATTTTATTTTTCCTGATTTCATCTGTTTTTCTGTGTTTAGTATCTTTATATGCAAATTGTACATGTTCAGTTTGGGTTGGATGAAAGGCTTAGTGTGGTATAACTCTTGGTAGTTGAGTAATACATTTATTATAGGTCTATGCATTAGACAAAAAGGGGGACAGTTAATGAGGAAAGAGGGATTTGGTTCTGAAAGACAGATGGTCCCTCCGCTCGAGGGACAATTGGGAGCTGTGCTATGTTGCAAAGTGCCCTGTTTTGTACATGTGAGTGATAATATTAGTTCTATTTATTATTAATAATTAATTGAGAATAAACGTCATACAATAACAAATGGTTGTTTTTAAACTGCATACCACGTCCATTGAGCTGCATTTTTCTGCACACCAATGCATATGTATGGTGTGAAAACCATATCTTTTTTTTATACACACCATACATATGCAGTGGTCTGCTAAAAAAAAAAATGCAGCTCAATAGACATGGTGTGAACAAGCCTTTAGTGGGGCCCAAAGCTGTAAATATGTAAAACCTGCCCAGAAGACTTGCATGTAAAATAATGTGGTTGTCTTTGTTTTCTTGTAGATTCACATTTATTCCCTTGGGATGTCCTTATATTGGGGAGCAGATTATGAAGTTCCACAGAGTCAGGTAAATACAGACATGATGTTTATGCCCACGAATAGACCTATTGTGTTTTTACAGATTTGATTGTTCTTACGTGCACATGGAGTGGACCATGCCACGTGGGTGCTTTTATTACTATATTCAAGATACTGTCGTCAGTCTTGGCAAGTTTTTTGTGTTTTGGTTTAGGATACTCTATCCAACACTTTATGAGAAATGTTACTAACGTTTATATCAAACCCCTGTTTATGTCGTATTTAGAGAGAGTAGAATCTGTTGTGTTTTTTTTATTTCATATTATTTCAACTTTAAAGAATTCATATTTGTTTTTTTTTATTGTTTGCAGCCTATTAAGTTGGGGGAACGCTTGAATAGCATTCTACTTGACATGTGCGAGGACCAGTTTTTAACAAGACTGTCCACTCGAACAGTTCTAGATGGCTGTAGTGCCCATATTCGCAACAGCAACTGCGCACCTGCCTTCTACTACATCAAACAGCTGGTGAAACTGGTTCTGGGAAGTTTATCTGGGGTGAGTTTTGTCTGAAAATGTGCTTAAGACTACTACTTGTTATAATCATATTGAACTAGTAGGAGAACACAATCTGGAACTCAATATCCAGGATTTGTACAGGAAATGGGGCTTTAAACCGATATTCATGGAATTATACAAGCAGCATAATTTATAAAATGTTACATTTATATTCTTTTATAGTTAAAACACATATAAGGGCTATTAGCCTGCTTGTATTACGAATATCAGTTTAAAGCCCCATTTCCTGTACAAATCCTGGATATTGAGTTCCAGATTGTGTTCTTCTACTATGTTCATAATTGGCGTCATACATATTTCCCAGAAGTGTTTGTGAAGTATAATATAAAATGTGCATATTTGCTGTCAGTGTTAAAGCCCCAATAGTTCTGTCATTTGCATCATATTAGCTGAAAGTGAATGAAGCAGGGGTATTAATGCTTTGTGTGGTTTTACAACAGCTACGTACATTGAGGATATGTACACATTGGCTTCTACACAGTCATGAATCCTGCCTTGATTTTAGCTGGTAGATTTCAGGCTTGCTCAGACAAGCAACGAGCTGCATCTTCTATTAAAAAGACCCTTTTTTAATACAATACATGTAAACGTTTTTTTCCTTTTCATAAATTATTTGTGTTCACTTCCAATGTGCCTTTGTTCTTGCTAAAAAACTTGACTACTACAGGAAGAGTAAGTTGCCTAGTACATCCCCTCCTACATGTCATAGCCCTCTCCTTCTGGGAGTATCTAACTATAGTCTGTGCTGGCGCAACATCTCTGCCGCTCCCTTCACCTCCCTACATAACCTTTAATGTAGTTGCTGGGGGAGGAGTAAAGGGGAATACTATAGAGTGTCACGTGTGTGACATTTCTGAGTTTGGTGGCAGCAGAGCCATTGACTGTCTACAGAAGGCAAGTCTTTATAAATAAATAACATGCATAAAATAAGCTAAATGCACATATATTCCTGTAGGAATATTTTTGATGGAATCAATGGTCTGATGACAAAAGCTATTTAAAAATGGCCTTTTCTGCCTAATTGACAGTTCTCCATTTATGAATGTCAATGTCATTCAGACATAGCTCATGTAAGCCCAAATTTGGAAAGTAGTGGTTATAAAAATGCACAGAAATGTTACTGGAACAGATGTAACCAAAGGTGTATATTCAAAATGTCACTATTGATGTTGTAATGGAATTCCCAGTGTAGAATGCCTTGTTGCTAATGCTGTTAAATATGTGAATTTTGTTCACTTAAAACTTTATAGTCTTGTATGTGCAGAATTGCACCAACATTTAATTCATAGTCTAATGATAAGTTGGACTTTTCATTTATTTTAAGTGTTTTTTCCACACAATGTGAAAAGTTATAATCTATTAGACTTGTGTTTTTTCTTTGGATAGGGCATTGCATCCTATATGAAGTGTTGAATTATTGTTCTTTTCCAAATACCGATATATGTAGTGATTTACCTTTCTTAGACCCAGTCTGTGTGAACAATGTGGCTACTTGCTGACTTGGCACTATCCACAGGCAGCTTCACTCCTTTTAAGACACAGAAGTTGAATCCAACATAATTTAACAAATAAGTTCAGTACAGAGAAGTGTAAGTGTACAGTCTTTGAAGTGTAAAAAGACAATGACTCTTCTAAGCCAAGTCTCTCTTTGGAAAGTGAACTGACAACTGGGCAGCAGTTAAAGAGACAGAGAGTATCTAGTTAAAGACTATACCCGCTAGCACTGAATCAGGAGGGGCGAAAGAGTAACATACCAAATACAATTGCAACACTAATAGCCAGGCTACTTAGGCAGCGCAATAGTGGAAGACGATTACATTTGTATCCATCATATGTGCATATGTAGATTTAAGGGGAAGACTCAACCCAAAAGAGCCTGACAACTTTGTTATGATGGGGCAAAGCTACTGCAGTAAAACCACCATGGCAGTCACCAAAGACATGACGAATAAGTAGGTCCACAGGTACCCAAGTAAATCTAATTTTTATCTGAATTTACTATTTGTTTGTGTGTTGTGTATTATGTCCAATCCAGTGGGGAAAAAGCACCATCATTTGGCTTCTCAGTGGGCACTCAAAAGTGGAAGAACATCTGCTCTGACAGTTGGGCTTTTGCCATACATACCTTTTGCCACAACCTCCTACCTGCACAGCTTTGGGCAATGCCCCTCTCCACCCCCCTTCCAAATATGTGGAATGAGGCTGCGGGGACCCCACTGCAAGGGTTAAGATTCCATATGCCCAGCGTTTTTCTTAAATAATTAAGCTCCATAGCAAAGTTATGGCCAGGCAGGAGCAGAAGATGATTAACTTGGCTTGAGGATCTAGGTGCCACCCCATATGATGTTGGTGCCTTAGGCTACAACCTAGGCAAAAAACTGGCCCCAGACAAACTTACCTTAGAAGTGTGTCCTCCTCCCATGCTGTCTAGGCTGTTAGTAGCTGCTCTGTCTCCTGCCACCGCTATCTCTCCTTTTTCTAGATCCTTCGTAATCCTCTTTGGCTATTGGGTGGCATCTGATTAATGTGACCCCTGCACATGCACACAGAAGTTACGATGTCTTCAGACCCTAACTCTCGATGCAGTATATTACAATTTTCAGGAATGGGCTGGAGTGCACACTTCACTGTGCATGCACCGCAAGCCGTGTACACTAAATAAATAACTGCCAGAACCAGAAATAAGCAGATTATGGCAGAAGAGTATTTGCATGTCTCGTCTGCCAAATCTCTTTCTATCTTTTTTTTTTAATTTCAGTTTCAGTTCCGCTTAAAGAATAAACCCATCATAGGCTGAGCTTGCTGTGTTTATAGGATATATACACTTTTATCTCTATAAGGTTGTCTAGTAGTTTATAGCTTTCTTATATTTAAAAACAAATACTGAGGCTTCTGCTCTGTTAAAATGCTGTGGAATTGTTTAAACTGGGCCACCCAACCTGTCTTTCATAAGCATTTTTTGTCATTGCAAAATCTGTTATTACAACATGTTTAATATGATGGTATGTTTTTTGTCTTTTATTTATTTAATAGCTGTATAGTACATTAATATATTTTAATCCCACAGATTGACCAAGTGGGAAACAAAGCAAATGAACCAAATCGCAGTCAAGCAATTCGTGACAGACTAAGAGGAAAAGGTCTTCCTTCAGGTATGTTTATCTAGGACCCTCTTGTGATGGGGCTGGGAATGGTCACCTCTGGAGACCCCCAGGAATGTAAAGAGTGCGTAAGTCATTTGATCCAACGGCATTCACCCATAATTAAAGTAATCCATTTATGTAGATTGGTCTTTAAAGTAAGTTATAGAATACTATACATTGCGCTAATCAAAATACCTTATTATTATACTAGCTGACCTGCAGACAAAATGTTTCACTTTTTTAGCCTTTTGATACTTTGATACCTTGTTACTATGTGCTAAGCACATTCAGCTTACTTTCCTCAGCTCAATACACAGGCCGATGAACTATGCAGGAAAAGGCGTCCACTTTCCTTGTCAACAATCAGTACACTTAAGTTTGGCTTGGCCGCACAGTAACTTTTGCTTGGCTTTCCTCATACGGTGACCATCGACTGTCATTTCCGCCAGGCTTTCTCTCTATTGCTACATATTGATAAGTGCAATTTGACTGCCCGCACCCAAAGAATAAATACCCATTTGAATGTCCAAAGTCTCAAAATATTGAATTAAGAAAGTCAACATGGCTGCCAGACAACACTCAGCAAATGCAGCCTCCATGCTTCTCTCATGTCAGATTTTAAAACCCAGCTGTACCTTCAGTTTATATAAGGTAAATATGTTCCAGTTACATAAAAACAAAAGGTGTGCAAAGTCTTTGTTTGGAAAGCAGCCACAACCTGAGTAAACATATCTCTCTTCTCCCAGCATGCTGTAGTGAAGGGACTCTGCTTTTTTGTGTGGAAGCAGTGGTCTCTCTGTCGAGGTCCAACTCACCTTCTGCTCAGTCACAGCTAGAGTTCTCCAATCAGCAGGAAGCATGAGCTTTGCTGATTGTAGAGACATAAGTCTGACTTGGCAGGAGGCATGTTGGAAATCTGCAGCAAGTTCTTACACACAGAGAGCAAGGGTCCCTCTCTACACCATGCTAGCAAGGAACAAGCTTTTCTACTCGGTAGCTGCTTTTTGAAAAAAAAAAAAAAACTATTAGGGCCCATTCTCATTGTTTGTCCGCTGCGTAATGGAACCTCCCAACCCACCATATTATGGCTATGTTTGCACCATGTCCGGACCAGATCTGGAGCAGATCTGCAGTGCAGTGTGTTTTGCCGCTATTTTACTGCATTTGTGTAGCTTAAAATGGGCTTATAGGTGCGTTTGCATGTGTTTCATGCATTTTGTATGTGATTCCAGTGCATTCTGGACCAAAGAAAACGAGACCAGCAGTATTTTTTTGGTCTGTACCGCAACGGACTGTGCTGGTGTAAACATAGCCCACAAATACCATAGGAATACATTGGGATGCTTTTTTGGTCCAGGATCAAACTGTTCTAGTCTGGACATGAGCCGGACGTGGCGTGAACATGTCCTTAAGGACGTGAAGTACCGCAGAGCACCATGCACGTTAACACACTACCATGTGTCGTAGTGAGTTGTGTTACAAAATATGTTTTTTTGATGTGTTAGCTCATTAAATAATGTGCTCCCTTAGCACAACACTCAATAATACACATCATAACGTGTGTGCTAACGCAACGCAATAACATGAACCCAGACTTACAAATTGACATGTGTTGATGCAACTGGAATATATTTAACTATTTGAAACTGAAAATTCAATTGACTTATTATGCAAAATCATTTTGGACTGATTGTCCTTTCATCAGCTGTAACTGACTGTATATGATGTACTCTATAAACTAGTCTCAGAAGAGCCCACCTTTTCTGTTGTTAAGTAACAGTGAAGAAAGGCAACTGACAAAAGGTTGAGTGTTTCTGTATAATATCTTGTGTAATCTTGTGGGGACTTTATTTATACTGTCACTTATAAAAGTCACTCTAAAAAATGTTGCATTACTCCTAATTGTTTCCTCTTTTGAGGCCAACACTTCCTTTTTTGATGTATAAAAAAAAAAAAAAAAGCATGAGGCATAATGAATATTTGTACTGAGTAGGGAGACAGACACGCCAGTTTTTGGCCAAATTCTGTGTATGCTGAGTATTCTAAAATCCATTGGATCCTTAGAGGATGAATGTGCTGCCTTGCCTTGAAAAAGCTGTGACAGTGTGATACCTTAGAGGTCTTTAGCTGAGGTATGTTTTCTTATTTATTAATATTCTGGGGAGAAGATGCTGTGTACACAGAACATAGCTTAACCTTTTTAATGGGTGCTCTTTGCAGGAAGTTGAATGTTACATTTTAATTATCACGCGTGGAAACTTTTGAGGTTGCAACAGCCATCAGACATTGCAGCATTAGAAAGGAATCCATGTTTACGCCAGCAGGTCAGCCTGCAGAAGTGAAATTCCTTGTTATATACAAAGGTGTATTCTGTGAAGAATTGCACAATGGATAACATGTCAATTCTATTACATGAAATAATGTGGCAGGAAGTGATTCAGCAACCTTACTGATAACATTAAGTCATTGCAGAGTCTTTATTAAATAAAACTGGCCAAACACTGAGCATGAAAAATCACTTGCTGAGGAGTGTGGATGGTAGAATATCTGCTGCCATTTATAGTCTTCTGACACTGCAAGAATACCCGAACACTGACTGCAGTTGATCTGAGTTTTCCACTCTGTTCATTCAAGAGAAACTTACTTTTGTTAAGCTGGGTAGTACCGACCCACAAAGATTGAATTTTGGCTGGTTCAGTAAAAAAAAGGAGGAAATTATGGCTAGATTTACAGATTGTGAACAGATTCTCTTATTAGGATACAGACACAATACAATATAGTGGAAGTATTCTATTAGACAGTGTGAGCTCAATAGAACATTTTAAGATGATTTCTGAAAAATAATGTCTGTGTTGATTTTTCTTTCTCATTGTCATTATATTCTACATGTTATATAGACCGAAGAATGCTAATTAAAATGTAACAGATGTATGTTCCAGTTGAGTTAATGGAAACTATAGTATCATTTCAGTGAGTATGCATTTTGAGTTATTACGCTAATGTTTTCCTGAAAGCAGTTTTTGAGGTAAGTAGCTGATCTGTAGCCAAAGCATTCAAGTTACACATACCCTCAGGCGGCCGCCTGACTTGCCTTACGGTAGCGCCGGGCCTGGTTACGCATATACCTTTATAATGCCTGATCAATGTTGTGAAATTAATGTTATTATCTGTTGATGATTTTAAAAGCTTTATTTTTAAAATCACATGCAGCATCCCTATGTTGTCAGCCCATGCAGGATAGCAGGGGGATGTCTGTGGCCACCATGAGCAGCAGCTGTTTTGAGGTAGAACAGCGCACCCACTGTCATGCCTCCATCACTGACATTAGCAGAGTTTGTAGTGGGGTTAAAAAGTGAGGGCGGAGCATTTGCCTAATTCCCTTCCATAGACAGCCTTCTACATACTAGCCTAGAAAGTCCAGGGTTGATATTTATACCAGCTACCTGATGGCAATGCAATGGGATGTCTTCAAAGATAAGAAATCCTTTAAAGTGAATTTTCTAAGTTTTGTAAGTCTACTACTTTCCTTACATTGCTTGAAGGTACACCATTTTTTTTATTGTTTTGACACTTACAGAATTATTGCGGTAATAACTCTGTAGTAATATGTGAGGTACCCCGCACAGTGAAGCAGCATGCAAAATCTTCAGTATCTACAGATAGTCTATTTTTTTTCATTTTTGAAAAGATTGGACTCCTGCCTTAGGCCCCATTCACACTAAGCGATTTATCCTGGCTATTTACCTCGCGATATCGCTCTCCAATGCATGGCAATGGGGCTCTGTCCGTCGCTGTCGCGGGTCGTGCGTCGCTACAGCAGGACCCTTTTTGGAGCGGCTTTTGCCGCGCTTCTAGCTTGCTCAATGCAAGCATTTGCGCGATATCGCGCAAAATGCAAATCACGTGACAAACGCGCGATTTGCGAATCGCTCAGTGTGAATGGGGCCTTAAATCTATCTGTGTTAAAAAGGAGGGGTGTCGGTTCGGTTTAAGCACCACGCTCGGCCTTCAAAGATATGGTTTCCCAGTGGTTAAATAAGACGATCTATGTGCTAGTGAGATCTCACCTGAAGTTACAGCTACTCCCCCTACTGTAGCCATTATAGGTGGATTATATTCTCTATGTTGAATTTTCAGTAAATTTGCATCCAACCCAAGTGGTGTGCGTGTATATATATATATATGTGTGTGTGTGTGTGTGTATATATAGATAGATATATATGTCATTATAAGAACTGCTGCACTTTTTAACTTTGCACTTTTTACCTTTTTTTTTAATTAGAGATTTTATAGGTTAATTCAAAAAACTGTCTATGGTATGCATGAATGGATCCCTATGTATGGCGTAATGTACTATACTTGGGCTTTGTCTGTTTCCCTTTAAAGCACAGGAGAGACAGTCTCATAAAATATTATAGTATAAATCTTTTGACCTTACAATTGGCTTCTAGACAAAGAACACAAGCTAGAAAAGCATCACTGAAAAGTTGTACGTTTGTATAAAAATCTCCTCCTGGCTTTGTATTTTGGAAAAGGTGTTCACTAAAATGAATTTTTTTTCCAGTATCTGTTGCATTGTTAAACTTTGTGGAAAATCACATTTTTCAGGATCCCTAAAGGAGAAGTTATGAAAGTTGAGTTAAATATCCATGTACAGTTATGCACTTTTTTTCCTCTAAAACTGGACCTTGTTACCCTTACATTTTCAGGACAGTGCTCAGTACAAGATGGGCTTGATGTCAACTACAGTAAAATCTCACAGCAGAACTTTCTTAACAGAGGCCTCAGTAAATCCATGGGGTTCCTTGCTTTTAAAGACCAACCAGAGGAGGAGGACGACTTTTGTACATCTCCGGTTCCTGGCTCTGGATCTGATGATCCCACAAGTGCCTATTATGCTTATAATGATCTCAGGCTCACTCAGTTAGGGGGGAAACTCGGTGACCATTGTCAAAAGAGAAAAAATTGGGCATCATCTTTTGACTTAACGTATGTTAACAGCCAAGCCACAGAGAAAGACAGTTCTGCTACAGACAGATTGTCTTGTTTTTCTGAAGCACTAAATGGACGGACTATATCCACATCCAGAATGAAGGATCTCAGACATGCAAGTGGAGCAGGTGATGTTTTAACCCAACAGAAGTTGGACCAAGCTAGACATGGACCGGATGTGCCAACGTCGGTTGCAATTTCAAGTGCCTTGGGCAGAATTAGAGAAAAACAGAAAAGGCTTCATGTATTGAGAGAAGCCATGAGCATAGAAGGTCAGTCTAATTGAATGTTGTCTTGTCTCCTTCAAAAAAGTTTATAGAAATGATGTCAATTGTTGAAACATGATATAGAGTTTTCATCAAAAGGCTATTCTCTTTCATTATGAGAAAAACCAAAAACCTACACTACGTCACCTATTTTTGACTCCCATCTATTTATCTGTTTATTAATCATCTCACTCATTCATTTACCAACTAATATCAACCTTCTTTTTTTTTTTTCCAACTTCGTTTTTTTGAGGGTTTTTTTGCTTTTGCGTAGTGAGACAAAAAACAATGACACAGAAGTCCTATTTCCTTTAGCCTTGACTGATCTGTTGCCATTTTAGATGGCACTAATCCTTCCATCTGCTGACAAAGCTTTTCTTTATATATAAATACTAATAAAACATTGGATATTCCAGTAACTTGTCACTTGCTAAGTAAATGCATTCCACAGATTGTTCGCTTTGTTTTAGATTTTTAAAAATATCATTACCGACAAGCAATCTTTTGCACAAACCCAGTTTTGACTTGCTTCATAACCGGAGAACAGAGCAAGTGAAGATTTTTATCTCATGCAAACAATGAAGATTTTGTAAACAAGGTCATAACATGAGATTTGAATATTTTGGATGAATGTGCTGTAATAGCATCTTGGCTTAATCATGGATTTATTAACGTGAACTAACATCAGAAATTGGGAACCCCTAACATTACTTATATGGATTGTCGTCATCGATGCTGGGAGTCCAATTCATCTCAAATTCTGCATATAACCCATTTACCCTTTTCTACATCTTGCTGTGATTGCCGCAGTACTAACCCCTTTTCATTAATGGCTGTCCTTCATCCTTGGGTTTTCTTTAACGTATATGCTGGTATTGGGGTCTGTCACATTATGCTATTTTTCATAACAACCCAAGTATAGCTAACATGGTAATCGGAGCAGTAATGAAGTTCTTGTTGCCAAAAGTCATTCAGCAGAATTTCAGGAGGAGGAAATTAAGGAGGATTTAATTCTTTAGTGGCATCTGGAGGTCTATGGTCAGTCTTTGTGTTATTTTGTGAGTTAATACATGGTGGCTGTTACACATATGAGCAAAGGTTTGTGACCGTCTGACCATCACACTTACACTATATGGCCAAACATATGTGGACACCTATGCAAACTATTGGGTTTAGGTGTTTCCAGTGAAGGGTACTGTTGATGCTTGTCTTTGACAACCTTTTACTGCCAGAGCCGTTTTTTCATTTTTTCACACATGTTAAAATGCACGTGTTAGGTCTGAAGATTACTCAAACAACTGCCCCCCAACATTATATATTATACAGAGGCCCTGTAGAGTAACATGATGACAGTTGTGATTTGTTTTGTCACACACTATTAGCGCTACTGTTTATCGAACCCATATTTTCAGTACACAGACAAGCACAGTATAATATCTATTTTTTTTAGTTAAATAGATACCAAACATGTCAAGCCTTAAATTAGCACGCACGTGAAACAGTAAAAAAAAAGTCTTTAAAGTTAATCAATTTATAGCTTCCTGTCAATAATGGTCCTAGTATGATTGCTCTCACTGTGACATGCATGGCGATACCTAATGTGTGGCACAATCAATGTTTTTGTATGTAGGTGCACTAGATGTACGTGTTTATGTGGGGACAAGGGGATGGGGGGGGGGTTTCAAAAATGTATTTGAACATTTATATTTTTTTGATTTAAATTTTTTTTTTAAACAATTTCTTCACTTAATTTTTTTGCTATTACAAGGGGACTGGCACGCCCCCTAAGTTATATAGCACATTGGAAGTAACAAGTCCTCTTTAAGTAAACATCAGGGGTCTGTTAGACACATAATAACTCTTCTTTCTAATAAAGCTAAACAAGCAAAGATTATGCTGAATGCTCTGAAACTGGAAGTGATGTAAAGCTCCTTACTTCTTGTTTCATTCTGCTCTGGGACATCAGCAGATGTAAGCTCCTGAAGTCCCTCAAGGGGAGGAAAGGGTAAACCCAGTATACATACCATGGCGGCACTGCACAGCCCAGCGACCCCCTTGATGGCCGTCCAGAGTTTTCGCTTGTGGCTGCTGGGATTACGTTTCGGGTTCCAATTCATCCTGCCCCAGGCCGCCAAGCTGCACTGATATAGACAGAGAGGAGGTCACCAGGGCACCGCAATTGCCCAGGCTGAAGGGTGCAGGCTGGACTAAAGATTGATTGTGATAATTTCACAATTTATAATATTTTTCTCACATTTTAGGAATATAGTTTGTTTGTTGAAGCGCAGTGCTATTTTTCTCTTTTTTTACCCTTTCACCCATGAACCGGTCCTTAACTGCCTCTTAAGACAGTAACAGATCATCTTTCTGTTACAATATATAGGAGTATGCAACTATGCACAGTATTTTATCTGTACATTTTAGCTGTAGGTGTGATTCCAAGAAATGGTTAATTAGGTTATGCTGCCGTAATAGTACTTGATTGGTTTATAGTGTTTATTGTACCTTTTTGGACCTATAAGAACCACAGAGATTTATCAAGTTGATAACATGTCATGCATTTTTGCTGACCTTTCTTTTACTATTGAAGGAAAGTAGAGTGTACCATAGCTAAGGGCAACATCTCTGTTTTCTTCTTCCAGTTTGTACACTGAGTTTATGCAAAAGTATCATTTCTCTGCATAATTCAATATGGCGCCATGCTAAAATAAAATCAAATTCAGCATAATTTCCAAATCACCTTTAAGTAGTTGAACATACCCAGCAGGATTCCAGCGTAGTTTGAATATCTGGCAAATTGAGCCAGCCAACCTTCTTAGCAGTAGCTGTTTGAGGACTACTCATTTCAAAGAAATGAATATGTGCATCCAGTTATTATTGAAACCTTACAAAACACAGATGTTTCCGAGTGCACTTACCAGCTGGCCTACAACAACACAAATTGCCCTGTCTAACAAAACTGGAGTAGACAGAATCTGGAGCAGTTGCCCATGGCAACCAATCAGCGTCTCTCTTTAGTTCAGTTAAGATTTGAAAATGAAAGAGAGAAGCTGATCGGTTGCCATACACAGCTTCTCCAGATTTTGTCTACTCCAGTTTTGATAAATCCCCCTCAGTGTTAGACAGGGCAATTTGTTTTGTTGCAAGCTAGCCAGTAAGTATGCTGGGAAGCGTCTGTATTGTTATAAGCCCTTCCATGTGCACCTTGCTACAAAGGCTAGTTATAAATTGTGTGGCTGCCGTGTATTTCTAGCTATTAGTGAAACATCTTTGCTTCTGCTTGACCAAAGAAAAATATACACCACTTATATTTGACTTACATTCGGAAAAAACAACATACATTGCTCTGTTGATTATGAAAAGACACAATAGTTTAATCTGAAATTTGGTGCTAAACTCTAGTCGGAGATGTGGCCTAGATTGTTCACTTCTCCTGCCTTCTCCAAACTCTTCACCCTTTTGTGAATACCCCTGTTAGTGTGAACCAGGCCTTAAGCTAGCCATACACTGGTATATTTTGGGCTAAACGAAAAGATATAACAGATTCCTCCTAGTGCGTATGACAGAATCTTCCACTGTGTTCTTTGTATTCTAACAGTGGCGGGCGTGCTGCTCTGCAAGTACCCAAATAGCAAAGGCAGCCAATTGGCTAGTGTCACTGTTCACCCAAAACATTTTTATCTGGCTCTTTCAATTTTCTGGTAAAAAGATGCTGAACGGAAGGATGGTGACAGGGACACCCACTGTGTGAATTCCGGCCGCTTCATCAAAATATGGCCGAAATTTGCTCTGTGTATGGCCAGCTTTAGCCTTGCAAACATTGACTTCCATTAAGTTAGCATTTGCATAGAATGTTGGCTGGTTTTAGAGGGCCTTGGGTGAAAGAGTGTCCCATTTGGGTGCCTGTTATTCAGTGCTGCATTCTTCTTTAACAGTGTGCACCTGCTCCTACTTTTGTTGTCACAAGTTGGATTGTTGAAAAAAAAAATTGCATCTGGTTTTACTGTTTGGTATAGGTGCCTGAATCACAAACGTTGTATTTTCACTTTTTTGGAGTTCTGCCTAAACATTATCTGCATGTAAGCATGCAGTTTTATGGTAATATCACACATAGCCAGAAACATGTAAAAGTTTTACCTGTACACATAAATGTCACTATTCCTAGCACGTAATGTTAGTTGTGTAGAATCAGTATACAGCAATTCGTAAATAGCTAGGAGGTTTCAGTTGTCCAACAGATTTGTCGTCAGACGAACTTGTTTTGTGTAGGAGTAGTTTGCTGCTACACCCTGATGAACCAGCTTCCTGTAACCTGGCAATCAGTACGTATTTGTACATCTAGTACAATAGCTCTATTGCTTCTGTATCTTTTAAGTAAATTATTGTAATCTCTACTTTAAAAAAAATAGGGATCATCTTCAAAGAGAATGTTAATCTTGTTTTGTTTAGATGAACATGACATGGTTACTGGACACGTGCTATTATTACTTGCCCACAGCAATGATTTTATTACACTGGAGTGTTTTTTGGTAAGAGTCCAAAGCTCCTATTAGGTTTCGGATAACTACAGTCAGATGATTGCCCCTTGGTTGCTGGGGGGTTAGTTGATGTTGCTTTTAGTTAAAGAGGAACTCTGGGTAAAGAAAAAACTTAGCTTTGCGGTGGGGCTAACCCAGCACTGCAAGGGTTAAATGCTCATTTTGTTTAGAGGGCTCAAATAAAGATGTATTACTCACCTAATCCTCAGTCTCCCGGTGGTCAGTGCTCGCCTCTCTTCTCCTCTGCTCCGGCTATATACAGGTGAAACTCGAATAATTAGAATATCGTGCAAAGTTCATTTATTTCACTAATGCAACTTAAAAGGTGAAACTAATATATGATTACATGCAAAGCAAGATAATTCAAGCCGTGATTTGTCATAATTGTGATGATTATGGCTTACAGCTCATGAAAACCCCAAGAACCCCAAATCCACAACCTCAAAAAAGTAGATTATTACATGCAAT